GAACGCGGAAAGACAACTGCGGGATTCTCTCTCCTCGCGCGGCTCGTGCGCGGCGGCGGCGGCGGCGGCGCGAGCGAAGGGGGACCGGGATCAATCGGGGCCGAACCGCGGTCCCCAAACCAATAAGCTATTTCAGAGAAATGGGAAAGAAGAACAGCACGAATAACAAGGTAACAAGGAGGCCTGTGACTCGTCGCTCAGTTGGAGGGGGAAACCGGGCGACGAATCATGGGCCACCTTGTTATTCGTGCTGTTCTTCTTTCCCATTTTTCTGAAATAGCTTATACGGCTCTCAGAGGCCGCAGACAGGCCAAACGGCCAGCGGTTTACCAGCGAGCTGTGCATAGGCATGTTTGTCACGAGGGCGGTCACTGAAATGTTGCAACAGGGAGTACCACGCACAGTTAAAACCTTACGAAGCAAAATGCCAAATCCTTCGTACCTACGAAGGATTTGCCCCTTACGAAGCATCCGAATCCTTCGTATTACGAAGGATTTGGCATTTTGCTTCGTAAAACTTTAACAGTGCGAAGAGACCAGAGTGACGGCGACGCGGCCATAAATTTGTCGTATCTGAACTCCAAACTCAACTCGACGTTTTGTCCCAGAACCGCCCACTCGCGGCATCCTATCTACGTCGGGCAGCATGCATACAGCACTGCGACGACAACTACTACTTGGCTTCATACCGCGGACTTTTGGGCGTCGCCCGCGGCTCGCGTACACATCGCTTCCCGCGGCGACCGAAAATAAAACGCGCGCCTGGAGTTCGCGAATCGAAATAATCAAACCGGTTCCTCCGCGGATCGGCCTGCCAAACAAACTTGGCGCCGAGCGTGGTGGCCAGGCGTGCAGCACGGAGTATTGCGTCTCCAGGCGCGTTACTGAGGGTCTGCCTCTATACACAACGCTAAAACCGCGGGTATTGATTCGGAAATCCTCCCACACACAAAAATGGTTCTAGTGAACTAACGAAGAATCCTTTATTAGATCAATGGAAATTTAACCAATGGAAAATATGAAAGGATTTTTCCGCAATTGTAAGCGATTTTCCGTTGCCCTTTGGAAATTTTCCCCTTGAATCACTGAAACTCCATTGATTCAAGAGGAAAATTCTATCATATTTTCTTTTCATTAAATCAACGGAACCGTTTTCTGGGTGCAGCCCGAGGTGCAGCCTTGTCTTAAAGTTTTGGATTTCGGAAAGACACTATTGTGTTGGCGAGCAGTGCTGTAAAAGCGCTGCTAAGGCAGCTAAAATCGAAATCAGACAGCATTGCAAGTAGTTTCCTCGAACCACGTCGGATATTCGAGTGTTTCAAATACAATGCGGAAAAACAAAACCTAAAAAAGAAACGAGAAATTTAAATTCGTTGTTTTTGGCCTGTCTCCAGGATTTAGCACACTGGTCCTGCAGCCGCCCACCATGACTCGCAGCGGGGGCCGCTGGCTCCTGCCGCTCGCCTTGCTGGCCGTCATCCTGGCGACGGCCGAGTCGGCGCGCGGCGTGGCGTACGGTGAGTGACTCAGGAGGAGAGAGGGGGGAGGAGGGAGGGCGATGTTTGTGTGAAATGGCTGTGCAGCAGCGGGGGAAGGCAGGAGAATCACAACAAACGCCATTTGCCAGCGAGCATCGCCGGGGGTCGGGAGGGTGTGTGTGGGGTGTGGGGGGACAAACACAGGCGACATGCGTCGTACCGTCGCGTGAATGTCATCAGGTGCGGACAGGGGCCGCAGCCGTGCTGGGGAGGTGGACTCCGTACTGCTAGCTCTGTGTGTGTGTGTGTGTGTGTGTGTGTGTTTCTCTCTCCACGGAAAACACAACGTCTGATGTCTTCAGGAAAAGGGTAAAATCTTAGGGAATTCACTTCCACATTTGAGGAATACTCCTCGGAAAACTCAAGGGGTTCATTACTTCGACCAGTCACAGTGCATGGCGCTGACTAAAGTCGTCTCAGCAGTTTTCCCTGCTCGAATATGGGAGCTCCTCAAAGTTTTCCCTTTTTTTCCTCAAAAAATCAGGTGTTCCGCCGTGTCTCTCTCTGTCTCTCTCTCTCTCTTGCTCTCGCTCTTGCTCGCTCCCTTACCCTCGCTGTAGCTCATGCTCTCCCCCGTGCCCCGCAGAGTCCCTGTCGCTGCCGCGCGTCAAGC